TTCCTCTTCACTTTCTGCCATCAAGGTTGTGTCATCTGCATATCTGAGGTTGTTGATATTTCTTCCGGCGATCTTAATTCCGGCTTGGGATTCATCCAGCCCAGCCTTTCGCATGATGAATTCTGCATATAAGTTAAATAAGCAGGGAGACAATATACAGCCTTGCCATACTCCTTTCCCAATTTGAACCAATCAGTTGTTCCATATCCAGTTCTAACTGTAGCTTCTTGTCCCACATAGAGATTTCTCAGGAAACAGATGAGGTGATCAGGCACTCCCATTTCTTTAAGAACTTGCCATAGTTAGCTGTGGTCGACACAGTCGACCACTACTCTCATCAAAATCTTGTCCAAAATAATAAGGATGAATGGGAGTTATCAAAGTTTATTGGATACAAGCTAGATTCCCTCCCCCCCAGTAAGGGCCTCACTACTTCTTTCTTAAGAGCAATCAGAATCACAATATCTCTCAAGGAAGCATGTAGTATCTCCATTGTCCAAGTCTTCAACCCTCCCCAGTCACTTTTAACAACCACGATGGACAAGGATCCTGGAGTCAGTCAGGGCCCCACCCTCCCAGGTGAGGTGGAAAAAAGTAAGCAAGGCAGAGAGCAGATCTTCCAGGACTCACAGCCAAGATGTGGGTTCACGGACCAGATGAATAATTTGTGTGCTGCCCATCAATAAGCATTTATAGAGCAACTAACATTGTAAAAAATCCACAATTGTGGAACATTCTGTTCTTTCATCCACTGTGCAATGAGATGAGACCTGCGGATGCCTAAATAAATCCAGTGTATTCAAGATAGCTGAGCTTTGTTCCCCCACCTTATCTATGAAGAGTGTACATACTCTCAGTACAACCAATGTCATGCCCTTGCTACAGCAACCAATCCTAAATTGATTGCAATGGAAATGGCAATAAGAGTGGACACTAAGACCCCAGAACAAGGATAAATTGACAACGGTCTATTCCTTGGTGGGGAAATAATGAATTGCTCTGCTATTATCATGAATTGGCAAAGACAAAAATAAACCTCTTATAGCAGATGTCAAAGCCACTGATAAATAAAACCATATGACAAGGAAAAAAAGACTTAGCACAAGTTGCTGCTACACACATTTAGAACAGGAGAAAAAGCTGCATAATAGATTTTCAGTAGGGCCCAAACCATGACTATTCACCTGTACAACCCATTGCTTTAAATGGGGCATTTTCAAGTAAGCACCCAAGTGTGTATTGAATTACAGCCCTAACTGGGGTTTTGGTTGCAGTCCTATTAACACTTACTTGTAAGTAAGCCCAATTGAACATGGTGTGTGTGGGGGGAAGTATTCCAGAGTAAAGAACTCTCAACAGGTGCTAGGAAAATAATTTATTAAGGTGTACTAATCATGTTTCAGGTATGAAGCTCTTATAAATATGCCACTGTTCACAGAATGAATTGTTGAGTTGTCTCATGAATTGAGAGGAAAGTTGAAAGTGAGGCCTGGTGAATGTGCACAATGGCCAGTTGATATGCACATTAACCACTCAACCTACATTCCTCTTATCTCAAACACATACATATATCCTATTATATGCATGAGAGACAACAACTTCAGTGTTTCAGTTTTGACATCTTTCCTATTCTCTCTCTGTGGGTGGGTGGGTGGGCAGGGAGGGAAGGCAGAGGAAAGAGGAAGATGGGGTGGATGAGAGAGAGAGAGAGAGAGAGAGAGAGAGGCAGAAAACATGTATCTTCTCCTCAGTACCACTTGGAACTAGAATTTAAATGTATATTTATATATATTTTTATTCAGTTGTGAGAGATTTGTTTCCAATAAATGAAGAAAGAGGGTATGAATCTTGCTCGATAGCTGTAAATTCCTGAAGCGAGCAGCTTTTTTTAATGCCGCAAAGGCTGAGCAGTTGTGGGGGTTTTCTTGTGATGAATATATTGCTGTCTGAACCCCCTGGTGGAAATATGGATTCAATTTTTTTCTTAAAGACATGGATCAATCATCATTGCCCTCACCTATTCTTTTCTGTCAGATGTTTCAATTATTCTGGAGTGTCTGCAAAAAGTTGGAGAACTAGTTTGGCTGCTCTTCTCACCAGCATCAAAGTGGTTTGGGGTTACTTTCAATAAGGTATTTTACTGCGAAAGGTCTTATTTATGGCCAGACTTGACATATAAATGAATCTAGTGAATACCAACCCAACAGTTTCAATGGCTGCAACAGAACAGCTTTAAATGGAGTTATATAGTCCTCAGAAGATGACACTACCTCAGAATACAAGGAGGTGGTGCATAATTGAATGTTCCCTCATGTCAGAAATTTACATGCGGAAATTAGCATGTTAGAGACATGAGCACGCTTCAACACTTCTCCTTGACATATTTCTCTGTGTGGTAGATCTAAACAAAAAACCAAGAAATATTTGAACAGACAAAGAGGCCCCTACATCTAAAATGGTAAAGTCCAGTGGGGATTATGTCTGCCCCACCCACACCCACACATTTCACTTATTGTTAGATGGATGGATGTCGGATTGAAGTTAAGTGGTTTCTAGCTGTAATGGTATAAAAGAATATGGAAAAATTGGTTTTTAATACGTAAAAATTTAATGTTATAATATATCAAGATTAAAGATTAGGATTAAAAAGGAGGGAAAGGAATTGCTGGACTAACAAATTGAATTGGAATACAAAAGAGGGTGGTATGAGGAGGTCCGGGAAATAAGTAAATGTAAGAGAAGTGATGAAAAGATGGAATTGTTTTTAACTGCTTTTTCTTTTTTTGTATTTTGTATTTTGTATTTTTCCTTTTTATTGTTAATTTTCTTATTAATGTAATCTCTTCCTTTTTTTGAAATTTTAATAAATATCATTAAAAAAAAAATATTGTTAGATGGATGGGGAGCCTTTGACTCTCCAGGTGTTGCTGAACTACATCTCCCATCAGTCCTAGCAAAACATGGGCCATGACCAGGGATGATAGGAGGTATATTTCAGCAGCACCTGCACGGTCAAAGGTCTGTCACACCTGCTCTAGAATGAGTGCTGCATGTTTTAGTCTAGAAGCTTGGGTTCTCTTTATGACCTAATGAAAACAAATGCATGCTTCAACATTCTCCTCCATATATTGTAAAGTGGGGAAAGCCACACCTATTGGTCCCACCCAATCCTTGCCATCAAGTTACCTGCTGTCCACATTTTGGGGAAAACATCAGATCCCACTCTGTGCACACAGGCTCTCCCCGGGACTTGGAATCCTGCACAACCAGGCTTCCTGATCAGTGAGACCACCTATGCATATACAGCTGGGTCCCCTTTAAAGATACCACACCCTACATATAAATGGCTTTTGGAAAGATACAGAGGTCTTTGGTCAATGGGTGGTCTATAAATAGCCTGAATCAATTATGTCATTGTACAGGCTTCCCTTTTTACGTCAATGACTATCTCCAAAGTGTCATCTGCAAATGGGGTGGTGAATTGGGGCACCTATTTTCATCTGCCCTAATAAGTATTTGTCAGCAGAGAAATAACAAATCCCATAGTTTGCAGAAGTTGTCTGCTCAGTGAAACAAGATTGAAAGCTGTAGGATGATATTCAGTTATTTCTGCTCATGCAATGGGACTTTCATTTCTCCTCCCATCTGCATCTCCCAAATCTGCTTTTTTTGGGGGGGGGGTCTCTCAATCCTTTGGATCACAGTTCTGAAGTGCTGGGGGATGCTGCAGAGGGAAGAAGGGGAATGGGAAGTCCCATTCCCTGACTGGAAGTTTGTCCTGGAACTGGGCTGACATTACGGGTTGTTACTCAGAGACTGAGCAAAATGTGTACATGATGATAAAACAAATGTCTGCTTGAATTATACTTTTTGAATTCTGCTGATTTCAGTAGAGTTTCATAGCTGTAGCTCACTCTTGAATTTAGTCCAGCTTTCCCCCGCTGGCAAAGTTAATAATCATGAAATTATATAACAAATCTGTAAACCAATTACCAAATGTCAGAAGGTGCCCTGATTAAAATACACATTTGCTTGAACATGCCACACTCACAAATTAGCCATGTGTTATTTATAGCACCTCGAGGCACAATAATGAAGGAAGTGGTAATGAAATCTGAAGGCTTGCTATGTTTAAATGTGATTCCCAAGAGGTCCATCTGTACTAGGACAGAGCAGAGAGATGGGAAAGTGAACAAGTTTCAAGTATTTTAAAACCATGAATTGGGGTACGGCCACAGCTCATTTGAAGAGCCATGCTTTGAATGTAAAACATCCCACGTTCATTCCCTACGATCTCAAAGTTGGTCTACCAAAGAGTCCAGCCAGAATCCCTGGAGCGTCTCCATCAGTCAAGCCCCATCTGCACTACACATTTAAGTAGTATTGTTGTTGATGATGTTGTTGCAATCTGTCTGTCTCGGGAGACAATGGAGAAGTGCGCCTTTGGAGGCGGAATCTAATTTTCGGAAATCTAATTTTCAGCACTTGCTGTGGCTGTAGAGACCAACACAGGAGAGACATATTATCTTGCAGCTGGGGCAAAAGGAGGTGTCTATATGTGCTGCTGCAAATGCACCACACTGTTTCTTCTCTCTGTGCTCATCTCAGCAGTCCTTCCTCCTCTAGTCACTGCTATGGATACCTGACTGCCCAAGCGCTGCAAAGGATTCTTACATGGCAGAGTTGATGTTGCCAGCCATAATGCTACCTGAAACAGTCATGGCTTTTCCTAAAGAATAGTGGATGATCGTGTCTGGGAAGAATTTGACCCACTCAGAGATACTGAGGACATCTTGTCCAAAGGCCTGTGAACCTGGAGCCAGCATTAGAAGTGTCATATATTAATGTGATGGTTTCAGTCTAAGTGTGGAAATTGGATCCTCACTATTTAATGTGGAAAAGGAGTAAACCCACATAAAAATGAATGAAAGTGGGCAGGATCACCCCAGTTGAGGAAGGGGTAAGATTGACACGTGTACTGTTCAGCTTGTTGCATACAATCAGATGCAAAATTCCAAGGCCTTCCTGGTTTCTATCCGGACACTGCTACTGTCCAAGTCAATTATCACCATTTGTTTTCCCTGCTTGGAATGAGCCATAAGTTGCTCTTTGTCGCAGCGTTCAGATCCTCTCATTTCCATGTTTCGAGGATGACATTTTGTTTGCTGCAACCGATGTTCCTGCTGTTCCTGTTTATTCACCTTAATGACACAAACGGTTTTATGAAGCATGCAAGCATTACACAGAAACATCTCTATTCCCTGGCAAGCTGATGTGATTGATTTGTCATATGCTTGCATACAAAATGATGGTGAGTGGGAAATCAACTAACACAGCTAAATTGCTCGAGACGCATTTGGAAGACAAACACTGGAGGGATCTCAAAACAAAGATTCTCCCCACCCCCAATGCAAGTAAGCTTTAGTTATAGGGTGGCTCTACAGGACTAGGATTAATGCTCCTCAAATGTTAGGTGCTTCCAAAGCTGTGATTTATTATCTATTTAAAAGACAGAGCTTGGGGAGCGGGGGGTGAGTGTCTGTAGAAGCTAGCTTACTGTTTAAAGGTAAAATTCACATTCATTGTTCTGCCCACTTTTGTCTCTTGTCATAGCCATGCTTAGCCTGTGATCTCTGGATGGCTGCCCAAAAGGGCTGAAAGGGGTTCCCCAGCCCTAGACTAAGTCATACAGTAGACCCATTGAAATCAAGAGATACAACTAACTTAAAGTCATTGACTGCAATGGGTTCACTCTGAATATGTCTTAGTTGACTTGTAACTCTATGTTTAAAAGTAACCATAGGGAAGCCAGTGCTGTGCAACAGTCCTGACAAAAATCACCTTCTTGACACTATTATTTTCATCTCAATGGAAACCTTTGTGGGTGAAAGGGGGACGCTTCCATTAAAAGGCTTAAAACAGATTCTGGGTGAGTCTTGTTGATGATTCAGGTATGGTTTAGCATGAGACAATGGAGGGAAGGATGAGGCAGTTACAGGAAGCAAGTGATGGGGGCAGCCATCTTCCTAAGGAGCTGAGAATTAACCCCTGTGCAAATAGTGTGGCACACACCTTTTAAGGTTGGAGGATGCACATGTCTGGCCCCATTCCAAGCACGGCATGCACATCTAACCATCTGAACAGAGCTGATGTGCACTTAGCCTCTATCCATAAAGTCAGAAGCATGTGCGATGGTTGGGGCAGGGCCAACTGATGCAGTTGTGACCCTACCACCACAAAAAGAAATGTTGATTGTATGCATGATGTACCTGCAGCTAGGAAACGAATTCAGTAGAATGCAGAGAGAGAGAGAGAGAGAGAGAGAGATGCAGCAAGCTTTTTTCAAAACAGTTCTACATATGGAAAGTTTCGTGTGCATAGATATTATCCATCGAGGAAAGATTAGAAATTCTGATAAAGCATTTTTGCTATTTTTTAAAGAGGGGAGAAGAAAGACAGACGGGAGAGAGTTAGCATTGTTCCTGTGTAGCACAGCAGAGATTTCAAGTGCCATAGCAGTTGCCTAAAGCTGTTAAAGAAAATAACCGTGCCAACAATGAGAATAAAGCAGTCTAAGAGAACAAGTTGTATCATTTCTGCCTCCCCCATCCTGAATATTAGCCACAGGGTAAGCAGATGGACAAGCAATGCCAGAACCTGTTTTGCATCAAACAAAATCCCATTGGCTATGTCTGTATTTTGTTGTAACTGTAACACATTGACCCCAGGAATTGGAGGCGCCAGCTTGAGCAGAAGATGGGGGCACAATGACGCATGCATGACATGCCCATGACACAGGAACATTGGGGGGAGCCAGGGATGGAGCTGAATGCAGTAGCAGTGTGGCTTCAATGTTGGGCGGCTCCTCTGTGGCACTTAGCCTCCTTCTCCTGCCACTGCCACCGGCCCAGGGCTGTTTCCCCGTCCTTCTCCTCTGCGGCAGCAGCAGCAGCGGCAGGAGGAGGAGGAGGAATCACCAGCCACAGAAGCCACACTATGCTTGGCGCCACACTCAGCCTCTCCTGCAACTGATTGTTTTGAACATTGCCCCCCTCCAATATTTTATTGGGGGGGATGAAGAGACCTGGGCCCCTTAGATTGGTGCCTATACAGTGGTACCTTGGTTTTTGAACAAAATGCGTTCCAGGAGTCCGTTCCTTGTGATGGATGAAAAACATTGGCAACACCATCTCAACTTATTCTCTCTCCAAAAAAAGTGATCAGTAGGGGGTGCAACTGGTAAGTGAGTAGGTGGGAATAGGCAGGACAGCTGTGTGATCCCCTGAGTGTGAACTAATATAGTGTGAACTAATACAGTTTGTTATTGCTGCTTTTGTTATGAGTTGTATTGCAATAATTGAGTTGTTTTTTTTTAAAAAAAAGTTCTTGCATTGCATGATTATTGTGTTGTTTATTATGCTGTAAACCACCCTATGGCATTTTTGGCAAAGGGTGGTATATCAATATCTCAGTTAACAAATAATAAATGTCCAACACACATATCCCAGAGGTGTCCATTTTTCAGAATATAAAATAATCCTACCAAAGGGAAGTACTATAATGTGCCTTACTATTACATGTAATTATGCATATAATTTGAACGACTAACATTTCAAGGACTGTGCAGCTTATAGGTTTTTTTCATGCTCTGTTCTTTCCTGTAACACTAAACTACAAGTGCTGTAGCACTAAACTACAAGGAAAAGGGTGCCACAATTGAAACAGGTTGAGTTTTAGAGTGTGTGTGAAAGAGAGACCACATTTTTTCACCTGTATCAGTTCTGCTGGTCTCCTTCCTGCACAAATGAGTATCATCACTTGCTCAAGCATCCAGCCTTTGAGCCTGGAAGCACCCTGGGAATGTTGCTTACATATTTCATTGCAAACTTCATGTGGAAGATAGCAATATTTCTCTTATCCAGCAATTGAAATGTCCTTAATTACCTGCTGAGTGAGCTAAGATGCTGAGTGAATGATGGTCTTCCGTTGCCAGAAGAATACTCCTTACAGATGCTACAACTTATTATATTACATTGTTACAGTTATCTTGGCCCCTTTAATGGCATGTGGCTGTTTCCCATTGTTATTGATGGGTTATTCTAAGCTGTTTCACTTTGCCTCTCCTTTGAGACAGAGGTTATAATGTATTTTCATCAAGCTGTGTAAAATGTAGATGGAATCTTTGTGCACACTTCTTTGATGGCAGAAAAGGGCTATTATCTCTCCCCACCCCCTTCACTACCAGCCAACCACATTCCAGGGGAGTCTGAAGAAATTGTTTTGTAAATCTCAGCAGACCCAGAAGAAAAGCTTTGATTGCTTAATCATTCAGTTCTATTATATGCATTTATTATTTTTAAAAAATGGAAAAAAAATGTCCAGTAGCACCTTAGAGACCAGCTAAATTAGTTCTGGGTATAAGCTTTTGTGTGCATGCACACTTCTTCAGATACACTGAAACAGAAGTCACCAGACCATTTATATATAGTGAGAGGGTGGGGAGGAATATTACTCAGAAGGGTGGTGGGAGGTGGGTGATTGACTCATTGGGTATGTGACGACTGTTAACGACTGCAATTAGTCCTATGGGGAAAAGCAAGGGATAGTAGCAGGTGACCAAATTAGCATATGTAATGAGACAAGATATGTCTCATTACATGTGTCTCATTACATATGTCAAAGCTATTTTTGGTCATCTGCATACTATCCCTTGCCTTTTCCTGTTGGACTAATTGCAGTCATTAACAGTCATCAACAGGTTTACCATACCCATTGTGTCAATCACCCATCTCCTACTACTCTTCTGAGAAAAACCCCACCCCACCCTTCCAATATATATAAGGGTCTGGTGACTTTTGTTTCAGTGTATCTGAAGAAGTGTGCATGCACACAAAAGCTTATACCCAGAATTAACTTTAGTTGTTCTCTAAGGTGCTACTGGACATTTTTTAAAATTTTTATTTACTTATTTTGTCTGTGTCAGACCAACACAGCTATCTACCTGAATCTAGAATGCATTTATTATGTTCATTTATTTTAGATTTGAATATCTAGACTGTGACTAAAAATTAGTGGAAGGGTAAGAAAAGGCAACAAAATGGAGGCATGGTACACTTTTCCTTTTAATTTACTGCAGGTGGCATTTGTATAGTAAGCTGGAATTATGTGTAAATAGACATACAGCCATCTCCTGACCCCTTTATTCCAGTTTTACAGTAGGTATGATCATCTGGTGAGAAAGAAGAGGGAGGAAATGAAAAAATCAGTGACAATCACAACAACCACAACCATTTTATTTTTTCATTATCTTTCAGGATCACACTGGAAGATTTATGCACTAGGACCACTTCTCATAAGTTGTCTCTTTGATTAGCAGTTTCGTGTAATGCACTGTTCCCATATCTGCTCTCAAAACTGATGAAATCCTCTCTATTTTGCACTTGCAGCTGCACACCAAGCCTTGCTTGGGAATTCCAAGAAACCAGAATATCAGTGCAGTTTTGAAATCAGTGTTTAAAATATGTGACACTTTGAAAGGTTAAGTCCACCCTCTTGGTTAAAAATTGTAATTAAAGGCACTTCAAGGATAGACACTTTTAACAAGACTTGGTTTCCTCTCTATTCCTTTATAAATAATACAGAAGATACTTTTATTCTACTCACAACACAAAAATCTCTGTGGAGAGGATACTTGAATTGATAATGCATAAATAAATGTATTGCTTGTGTACTGTGTACTGCATATGAGACTGTACCACTGGACAAGTTACTGTAGTGTAGTCATATGTTGTTCTTGTATTTACATGAAAAGCAATAAAAATTATTGGAGGGAAAAAAAATAATGCTGTCCACTTATATCCAAACGTAGACAAATACCTGTTCCTTGATCTCAGAAACAGCTTTCCAGAATATATAAATAGCTATGTCATTGATAGAGTAATATCATTAGATACAGAACTAGTAACATATGTGCAAACAGCAGCATCTACAGCTATTTGTTGCATTCTGGGGGTTGGAGGTGGGCTGCTGTATTGGAAGGTTGGCTAAGAATATAATAAAAATAATAATTTATTATTTATACCCCACCCATCTGGCTGAGTTTCCCCAGCCACTCTGGGCGGCTCCCCAATCAAAGCTCCCAGTGGTTAAGCTGTCTGATGTTGCAAGAGTCAGAGACAGTAAATAACTAGATAATCAACTCATGGAAAAATGGAGTAATTTCTTAATGTGCCACTATAATAAGAAACAAGAT